ATTACGAATTTTTATTATTATGATTATTCGCTGCACTTTTCGTCGAAATTCGGGGAGAGTAAAACTATATGCTTTGCATAGATGGATATGATGGGACAAAGTGTATACGAATATAGTCATCCCTGTGACCATGATGAATTGCGTGAGTGCCTGTCTTCGAAGTCGGCGGATAACAATGAAAAACGTACCTGCAACTTTTTCTTGCGACTCAAATGTACTCTCACTAGCAAAGGCAGAAAGGTCAATCTGAAGAGTGCTTCTTACAAGGTATATATTAAAATGAAAATATGGAAATCTTTTTACTATACCTAATAATATAATTATAGTATTTGTCGTACGAAACGTTAAATAAATATTAATTTGACAGAGAAAGAGAGAAATAAAATTTATAATAAATTTAATAGAATATAGCTTATTTTATTCTCAAATAATTACTATATAAATATAATTTATTACATATAATAATTTATATTTTTTATAAATGTGAAATATAAATACAACACATGTATACGCATAAAAGTAAAATCAATATTATATCGAGTAACAGAATTTGCATAAAGTTTTCGCAATATTTCACTTTTTATACTCATCTGAATAGATTTCTTTTATTGAAACCTTTTTCAATTAAATTAGCTTGTAAATAATATATTCGTGATTGGATGTTGGCAGGTGATTCACTGCACTGGCAGATTGACAAACATCCGCGACTCAAACTCGAACTCTATGGAAGTTGATAATGAAGAGCGACGCAAAGAGGATGAGGACGTGGGACAAGATACAGGCACTTCTCTAGTGCTCGTAGGTAGTCCTATACCTCATCCTAGTAATATTGAGATACCTTTGGGACGTCATACCTTTTTGTCAAAACACAATCTCAGCATGAAATTTACCTACGCTGACGAAAAGTAAGTAAATACTATTATATTTTTATCAATCTCTTATTTTTATGTTCGACACAATATGGATTTTTTAATTCGTGTGTAAATCCATAAAATAATTTTATTTGTTACATTATTATTTTAAAGTAGTACAGCTTGACTCGTCATTTTCATTATCGTTGGCTTGCATAATTAGCACAATGATTGATTGAATTATCTTTATCGTTCTTATCATTATTCGATAAGTTTTACCTTGCTTATCGTACATAAGATTCAAGTATGATCCTTGTGACGCGTATTGTATTACAAATATATATAGTATTTTCAAAACAATTGAATTGCACTATTGAATATTATTTTACGTTATATCACTGGGAATATTTTTTGTCTCGTTTTAGATTAGCTGAATATTTGGGCTGGAGCAGTGAGGAGCTGATGGGTCGATCAGTCTTTGAGTTTTATCATGCACTCGACAATCTTGCACTAGACAAATGTTTCAAATGCCGTAAGTATTCTTTACGTTTTTCTTTTTACTCAATTTTATATTTTTTTAGTAAAATGATAATTCGATTACTAATTAAAATTTTTTTTTAAATATCTGAAAATTACTTGAACTTCCATTCTCGATTTCAAAAGATTCTTATATCACTTCTTTAATTTATGAAAATCAATTTCTGAAAATTGATTAGCATCGTTTAATTGCGAAAAATCACTTAATCTTGAATTCTTTATGTAAATTTTTATTCTTTCTCTGATATTCAATAGTATTTTAATCATTTGATTTTCTGAGTGAATTTTAAAATTCCTAAAAGAGATTCCCATTCTCGTATCGTAAAAAATTTTATTACGTGCGAGTTACACGTATACAATGAAGCATAAAATCAAATGGTTGTTAAGTGGCAATTCGTGTAAGAGTTGCATTGCTATTTTGTCTAACGATCGGTTTCAAGTATTACGCTGTACGCAAGTAATACGGATGCGAAACGTGATAACCATCAAAATAAACGAGATACATAAAAAGCTTTAGATGAAAGAGAAACGCGGGGCGAGAGAGGCGGAGAAGTGACTTACGGAATGGGTCGACCTGGGTGAATGCCCGAGAGGAAAAAAGTTTCAAGGACGATCATATCTCTTATCGATTGCGACGCTATCCGACGACCTTTTTTACGGTTTCCATCAAGTCGCACAAACTAACGCACGGCTAACGTTATCGGCTACCAGTTATGCAATTATTGCATCTTCTATCGGTATTTACGAGCACACACGTAACTTTATCGTGTCAATTTCGGTAATTGACTCATAAAACGGCAGGTAGATAATGAAAAATGAGATGTAGTGACAAAGTGCGAGGCTATAAAAATGTCGAAAGATATTTATTGTTTGACTGACATTTTGCATTGAGATACAGTCTGGAGAATTATCCTCGACGATGTCGAGGAATCGAGGATAACACATCGCAATTGAGCACATCATTAAATTAAAAATAGCATATGCTATAATAGGAATCTTATTTAATAAATATTTTATCTAACATTTAATTGCCAATATACGTAAATATTACATAGCATTAGACATTGAAAAATGACAAAATAATTATAAATATTTTGAAATTAAAAATTGGTGAATTTATTATCGATAAATCTCTCTGTAATGTAGCAGATATCTAAAAGATCTTTTATTGATGACAAAATTTTAATATACGCAATAAAAATAATACTGACAGACGATTGTAAGGGACGATTTAGGAGGTTCACATATTCGAGCAATCCGCAACGTTATTCCTTTAACACCAACCAGCCTCGGTTTTTCGGCCGAATCAGCTCCACTCTAATCCCACCTTAGTCGTGTTTTATGAGAATGTAGGGAGATACATTTCTAGAAACGAGATAATACGCTTCTCGAAGAGGGCCTGAAGCAGCCTGGAGCGCTAAAATGTGCGATGTAATCTTATGACGGAACCGCAATAAAATATTTCATATCTCCGTTTCTGAGATTATCAATCTCGTAGCTTACAAAATTACGAGAAATGGTATAATTTGAAATGGTATATTTTGATTATCTTTTAGATTGCATATATATGTATGTGTTAAGGTAATCTTTGCAAAAAATGATCTGGGCTGAAATTGGAAATTTATATTACCTATATATAAATCAATGTTATATACATATAAAGCAGTTCAATAAGGTCAGTACTTTATATAATATTCACAATACAATTTTATAATTTAAACGAAAATTTTGTTTATCTTATCTTAATTATTTTTTAAAACATCTGCCTTTATTGAAATAATAATTTTTGATATAAGTTCTAAATCACTGCCAAATATTTTATATTTTCAAATGTAGAAAAATCCGTAATCTTTTTAATAATTTTTTTTTTGTAATGCATCCTTATTTTTATCAACTATTTTATTTTCATTTTTTATTTATTAATAAATTTTAGTTTTATTTTTATTCATCGAGTTAGCATTTATTGACTACATTTTATATTAGTGAAAATATTGCAAATACATTATTTTGTAAAAAATTCTCAATTTCTAGATTCTCTTCTCCTTTTATAACAAAGTTCTAAGTTCTAAGTCTATCAAAGCAGCAAACTATTTATTGTTGCATTAAGAAATTATATCTTTATTCCTTTTGGTCGTCAATACTAATGCATGGATATATTCGTTAATCCCTTGCCGATCGATAAAATTTGTAATCCCATGCCACATGTTTCGTCAGCTGCGTGCGACTCGGCGGCGCTATAAAATCGCACGGATGCGTTCGCATGTTCCGAGTCCTAGGATGATCGCTCTCTCATCAACATCGTTGTACTGTTTCAGTGTTCAGCAAGGGCCAGTGCGAGACCGTAGCGTACAGATTCCTTGGCAAGCGAGGTGGTTACGCCTGGGTTATTACCCAGGCCACCCTCATTCACTGCTCCAAGCAGCAAAAGCCGATCTCTGTCGTCTGTGTCAACTACATCCTAAGGTAGGATCCGCTATTATCCTCCCTGTTCGGTGCTGGTTTATTCTTCTTCATCACTTTTCACCATCAAACTGGAGTACCTTCGATTTCGCTTATATCTTGAATTAAGCATGGCTGTATTCTTTTTATTGCTCAATTATTACATTAGAGAAATTTAATTAAGTCTTACATTAATTAAATTGTACATCGATCTGATTTCATTTCCGATGAATATTTACTTTATAATTACTTTATAATTGATTGCATTTTTGCGGAAGCTATGTGAAAGACAATAAATTTAACAATAAACAAATGAAACTTTTTGATTTTTATTCTCAATATTCGAAATTTTTCAATTACTGTTAAATTTATAATATACTTTAAGCAATTTTTGCAATCTAACTTTAATTTTAGTCAAAATACTCCCTGAAGTTTAATGTGAATTTGAAGTAAATTATTACATCAGATTACTATGTCATCAGCTCCGTTTTTTCTATTGAAGAATAATTTTGAAATTATGACGGAAATGAAATCCAATCAATTCTTTAGATTTCTAGTATTTTGCGCCAACATTTCCTAAATGACACTGCAAGCTTATGTCATACGTAATAATAATTTCGCAAAGCACATGGTTTTCGATCAGGCATCTACGTTCATTAACTCCGCAATGTATCGCGTGAGAAATTAATTTCCATCATACTTATTGTGTCCTTGATCGCTCTATCAAACTCAACTGAATCCTTTGCGTAATTATCGAATTGCGTGGAATTCGCAAAATTGAAATAATGATGAATATAAATTATACTGAAATTATTTAAAAAATATTATAAAGGAAAACAAGTATCATTAATTTAATTTTTCTTTTTTTATGTATTTTTACGGTAAAAATTTGTCTTTTTTTGTTCATAATAATTTATGAGCATTTTTAATGAATCAATTAATTTTTGTTATTAATACACGCAACGATTCATATGTTAATATTTAAACTTATCGTTTGCCCGATTAACCGGATACGCAAATTATTTCCTACCACTACTACTACTACTACTCCTATTATTACTACTACTGCGGACATGCTACTTCCGGTAACTTCTGGCGAAGGCCGCGACAGAATCACGCGAGGTAAGTGCTCTCTTGATTTTTTCGGCGCAGATTTAACCCTCGATTGATTGCCTCAAACATATTAATTCTAATCACTTTTACAAAGGAACACAATTAAATGTCGTCCTTCGATTTTAATGAGCTTTGAATATATCAAAGTATAGATAAAAATAAGAGATATGTATTTTTTTTATAAATGTTTCTCGTAGGTTAAGGCGATGAAGCTCCTTCTGGAAAAGATAGATTTTTTTTCTTGAAAGAATATTATCTGAATCAAAAAAGATATTTACAGAAATTGTAAATAAAAGTTGAATGGTTTCAAGAGTACTATATAATAGCAATAAATTTTTTCAATAAAACTATTTATTTATGAAAAATAAAAATTTTTTTATTGTTGTAAAGTACTTTTAAGACTATTCAATTTTTAACTTAAATCTTTTTTTATATCTTTAAACGATATTCACTCAGAAAAAAAGTAATTTATTTTTGTCAAAGGATGGACTTCTCGTCTTAGCATACGAGAAAATATTTATATAGAAAAATACATGTCTGTTATTTTTTTCTGTACTTTAACATATTCAAAGCTTATTAAAACACTTCTTTGTGTTTCCTCGTTAGTACGATTCATCGAAATAATACGAAGAGAAATTTATTTGTTTGATTACGACCTTAATAATAATTCTCGACGATTTAGCTAATGAATCAGATAAGAAAAACGCATTCAAAAATATCTCTATCTAATTAGAAAAACCAGATTTTTCCTTTCAGATGATTCTAAAAGTAATTTTTCTCCGCTCTGATTTTTTTATTCTTATAAAGTTTCAAATTTTCTATTTTTTATTTTTTTTTCGAATATGTCTTGAATATCGTATCATTCAAGGGTTAATCTGATGCCTTTTAATGCGATAAGTTAGCCGGATGTTTTCGTGTAATTTTTTTTCTTAGCACGCCGGTTCTCTTTTCGCATTTGGTGCTTTTCGCATGTCTGTCGAAGGTACTCCGAATATTCGCGGCTTCTATTTGAAAAGGGTGCATGAAAACAATTTTATTCCACGGACGTTTTATTGTGGAAGATCACAAGACGCATTAAATTACCAATGAACTCTCTCTTGCCGAAAACAGAACTCTCACTATCAAGGATCGAATGGATGAAACGAATCTCCCTCGCGGTTTAAACGTTATTCCCCTTCTGGGGAATCCATGCGCCGGATTTCCCGGGATTGCCGATCTCTCTCGAAGAGAGGAAAACGAAGAGAGTTTCGTGGTATAAACCGACCCCTTTTCCATCCCGCTATCTCGGGGCGGTGGCTGTTTTCATTGGTGGCTGAAAGGTGGTTGGTAGATTCCGACATTATCTCTGACCCGTCCCCTTAGATTCTTGCTATTTTCTCGGATATTTCATTCCATCCCTTCGCCATCGTTTCTACCCCCTCTTCTCGACTTTTTCGCACTCTCGATTTCGTCGGAGAACGCGCGTACCTTCAGTTGATTTCTGCCACCGGAAGCGCAAGAGTTCGTGAATATTGTAGGTATCAGGTCATGTACGTTTCTTAATATATGTTAGTGAAGTGATATAATTTTTATCGCAAACGAAAAGATCAACATAAGTCATGTGAATAATATTAAATAATATTATATTAATCTTTCCTCGAAGTCCTACGATGTTATTATTTAATGATTTTAGTTTGTAAAGATCTTGTTTCAAATTAATTAACAAATTTAATGATATTTATTTTTCTAGTATGTCTAGCATTTATTTTCTTATAATTTAATATTCAATTATCACTTTAAATAGCTATGTGCGTTAATCGCAGTTCTTTCTCGTAATATAATCGTTTATATATTCTTAGGAAAGCTCGCAATGCCTCCTGTACTACTATTATCATTGCTAACTAATTAATCTGCTTCTCAGATCGATAATTAAAGTCCATCCAATCGAATGCTCGCCGAGGCCGAATGTGCGTTCCCCTTCAAGCTCGCACAAAGCAGCGCACAAAGCAGTCGAGGTGGAAAAGCTGACGCTTGCGCGTCGCGGTATATGACTTCGTCGTTCCTCTCCCGGTCGAATCCGGAACTCGTCGATACCCGCGTGCGCGTTCAGCACCGATCGTCCGTGTACGTCGACGACCCGCGACAGTCGAACGAAAGCGAGAGCGGTCGGCGAAAGTGTTGTGTCCCGTATGTCGCGCAAGCTCAGTCGCGATCGCGACGGTGATTGAAGTTAAAAATCCGTATGCTGTCGCAAGTAAGTCGATAGATACAACGAATGATATCATGAAGATTGTAGGAGAAAATTTGTCGTAAATGAAATACGTGGTCAGAGTTGTCACAAAACTGAAAATCAGAGAAGTCAAGGAACAGTCCGGAAATTGCAAAATTTTTTGGAAAATTAAAAAAATTCTTGGCTTTAAGGAAGTTCAATATACTTACATCACATCTACTTTGGAATATTACCAACTTGACAATCAAATGCAAGCAGTTTCAGCAACATTATTAGTGATTTATCTTGCTATGTTAAATGGTTCTCTCGATAAAATATTTAATGGTTTTCAAATCATGATGAAAATACAAGAAATTTTTAAATATTATTGAAGCACCAGAGAGAAAATCATGAAATTTTGTTTGAAAATTAATCGAAAAAGTTATGGAATTTTAGGACTTTACTGTAACAATCCTAACGTTCATATTTTCATTCTTTTATTTTGTATAATGATTTAATCGACGAAATAAGTTGCAATAAAACAAGTGCAGCACGATGTCAAATTACAATTTAAAAACTTTAATAAAGTTTAAGTTAAAGTTTAAGAAAATTTTTTATGCAGAATGCAGAAAGGTTAAATTAAGATTCAAATTGATGCCGACAAGCGCAGGAAGAGGTCGTGCACGATACTTTTCTGTAAGGAATATTATACGTATTCGCATTGCTGTCTGCCGAAGAAATGTGATATTATCTTCCGCTTCTCGCACGTGTCTGACCGGTTTTCCTACAAGAATTCTCGCGAGGATCGCTTTTGAAAGCTGCTACGCGTGAAACCACGACTTCTCGTTCAACGGGAGGCATTACATTGCCTCGCGTTAGCTCACTTGAATGTTATATAGAATTATATCAATCAGTATATCTATTCTTGCATCGATAGCTTGGAGATATCGAGTAAAAAGATCAATGAGATTGTCATTCGAAAGAGAGGGAAGACTGTTGTTTTTGAATCATAAGATGTTGATTGTTTTTGCGAAAGACAGAATTATAACAAGTGTATATATCGTAAAAAAAATTACGCGTGTATAATGCATTAAAAACAGAAACTCCTTATCTGCTAAGAGAATTGAAAAAACATGTTGAACGTGCTTTGTTCCGATAATCGCGGTATTTTTTTTTTTTTTTACAATGAATATTGACGATGCAGTAAGAAATTAAAACGTAGAAGTGCGTCAAGCATAGATAACGTACATTACCTGACTAAAAGTAGAAGCACTTAGCGCCGCTCTGTAGGATATACATGAAAGGATTATTATTTTATAAAAGAATTATAACATTATAAAAGAATTTTAATTTGTTGCTTTATCATTTGTATTTACTTGATATTCCACAAAAAATTAAATATTTAATCGTTTAACCTTATATTTCTTTCATTCAATTTTACTTACAAATATTAAAATATTCTTTGCTATGGCAAGAAAGAACTTTCTGCAGCAAAAATCCATGCATTGTATATTTCTCGTTTACCTTTAAATAGCGATCTATTTTTAAAATCTTACAGCTTTGCTTCTTGAGTAAAATTTATTATAATTCATTATTTTTTTTATTGTCTTTTATTTCCTGCAAAATAATGGAATTATTTCAGCGCCATTGTAATAGTTTTTCCGTCCTGTAAATAAAGATTAAATTATTTGCTCCGTATATCAAATGCTTTTATGCATGAAAA